TACTCTGAGAGAGGAAGGCAGGAGATTTGCAAGTTTGAGCCCAGCTGGGGCAATTCAGCAGTGCAACTTAGCAAGACCCTGTGTGAGAATATAATAAAAGGAGTGAGAGCTAGAGATGTACCTCAATGTGAAGGCTTTGAGTTTCATCTCTAATGCTGAAAAATACACATGTATATTAATATTAGAATGGAAGTACTTATCAGAATAGTGCCTGGCCCCTGTAGGCAAGAAGAGGAGAGATCTGAGTAGGGATGCATACAGGCAATGCATCTGGAGGGCAGCGCTGCCAGTGCCTTGTTTCTTGGTCAGGGAAGGAGTTATAATGGTGTTTTCTTTATAATGTATTCTTTAAGCTAACCTGAATATATGATATAACCCATTTGTTTTTAAAATGCAAAATAAAACAAAAGATACAGAAACAGAAATTTCTAATCATTGAGTTCTAATAAAAAAGTATCTTATCTTCAGGTGTTGAATGATGGATAACATCAGACAGACCCAGCTACATATAAACAGGATATGATCCATTATGTTCAATTCTATCTGCATATGCAAAAATATATGTGCATGTTTACTCTGTAAATATATATATATTCACATATATGTGAACATATACATGTATATGTGAAGTTGATCAGCCTAATGGACAGCATTCTTTTTAGCCCTTCATTTTTTAATAGTATATGTTGCTTTTGTGTGGTGCATATACTAGAATATATAGTTCCAGGAAAATGCATAATTCTACATAATCGCTGACATGCTTAATATTAAATCAAAGTTTATAGATGGAACAAATATAATTAAAAGCTAATATATAGCTTTATTTAAACTTAAGCTGTGCCTTAGAGTAAACATTCATAACACTTTTGGGGTTCTTTAGCCTTTCAAATTTTGATAAAAACTATGATCTCTTTTCCCAGAAAAGTGAGTGGACACATATACATTATTACTCATATTATTATACCTACTGGAGGATTCACACATTCCTGAAATATATCTAATTATAAAAGTCCTTGGAGTCTGTTAAAATTCCTTGACAGGCATGATGGACATTCCTGAAATGCCAGTATTTGGGAGGCTGAGGCAGAAGGCTCATCATGAGTTGGAGGCCAGCCTGGACTACATAATGAGCTCAAGGGCAGCCTGAACTATATATCAAGACCCTGTCTCAAAAACCAAAAAAATAAAATTCCTTTCTTAAGTTGCCCTCATCAAAGCAAGGCATGTTGGCATATGCCTGTAATCAGAGCAGTTGGGAGGCTGAGGCAGGAGGATTACCATAAGTTCAAGGCCAGCTTAGTGTACATAATCAGTTCATGGTCAGCCTGAGCTACACTGTGAGAGTCTAGCTCAAAAAAAAAAAAAAAAAAAAAAACAAACCCTAGATAAATAGATAGGTAGGTAGATAGGTAGATAGATAGGCAAGCAAGCAGGTAGCCTGCCCCCATCAAATGTTACTGTCTCAGCCAATTTCTGACAAAAGTATCAAAACAGGAAAAGTAAAATGTTAAGGTCTTCTGTGATAGTGACTATGGTCTTATTTCACTGGATTAAGAAACACCTAGCAAATTAGTAGAGCACCCTCCTGGGTGTGTTTGGGTGGGTCACCAAGGTATGGCTTTGAATTTAATATATGCTCCTTTGCCTAAGGTGCTGTTTTCCTGCTCTGCTCCTTGCCCACCATGAACTAAGCACTTTGTTCACCAGGCCTTTCTGCCCCTGCCTTCGAGCCAGTTGACTATCGACTGAGTCATCCCCAAACCATGAACTAAATTAAATTTTTCCTCCTTTAGGTTGTGAGTATTGGGTATTGTGTCCAGCAGGGGGAAAACAGACTAATCTAGTGCTGGGAAGGTATTTACATTCTCTACCAAGCATTTCCACCCCTCTCCTCAGCCTCAAATCTTAATTTCCCCTTTATCACCCAGATTCTGCCCAGACAGTAACAGTAGTGGACTTCTGCATCTGCCTTTTTGTCTGTTCTGCTATATTTTACATTCAGCCACAGATAATCCCTTTAAAGATTTGTTGTTGTTATTCCATTTATTTTTGAGACCATAATGGTTAAAAATCTGAGATACAGCATCAAGCAGACCAAACTGCATTTTAAACCCAGCTTATTCCTTACTGACTCTGATGTTGAACATGCTGCTTCACTTTCTTATCTGTAACATAGGACAATAAGGTAAAGTCTATTCTATGGATTAATGAGAAATATATTTAAAGTCATTAGCAACGTGTAAGAACATCCTGATGTTCAATAAACATTTAGACTTAAGGATTTTAACTTAATGCTTTTGCTAATAATGTCTCTGCTTCAAATTCTACACTTATTTTTCCCCTATCAAAATTCTACCTCCTACATCAAAACTTCCTAATCCTATGGCAGATGTAATGTCTGCCACATCTAAATTCCGCAGGTTTTTCATACGGTTATAGCTATATAGTGTAGTGGTGAAAACTCTCCAGTCAATTTGCCTAAACATGGATGCTGGCTCCCTTACTTACTAACATTGTGACTGTGGACAGGTCACATAAGTTTCCTATCATTTCTTTTCCTTATCTGTAGATTTGATATAAAAATAGTATTGGTAGCAAAGGGGTTTATGAAGATAAAAATAATTTCTAGAAAAGGTAAAACTAGAGATAGAGATAGAGGGAGTAGAAGCAGACCAAGACAAGGAACCCATGTCAATTTCAAATGGGAACTTTTTGGAGGGAACAAATATTCTAAAACTGAACTATAAAAATAAGTAAATGCCATGAAAAGAATTTTTTAAAAACAGTTTATACCTCTGTTTTCATACATACATATATTTACTGTGTATCAAATTATACAGTTAAAAATTGTAGATTTTATGGTATTCAAATTATACCCTATGGAAACTGTTAGGATGGACAGATGGATGGGTAAGTGGATAGATGGATAGATGGATGGATGGATGGATGAATAGATGGATGTAGGTACCTTGGTACTCATTGGTAATTTGGGAGGTACGATGAATACAAAAAACAGTGAGTACCAAATGAATTGTTTTGGCTGGAGAAAGTACCAAGTCATGAGGCAATCAGCATCAACAAGTTCTAGCTGACACATCAGATACCAAATAAATGACAAATACAGGGGAAATTTTCATGTCAAGATGTATGGAGTACCAAATTCAACACGTTTCAGAGCAGTCATGAAGTATGGAAAAGTCTGGGATAGTGCCTGGACATGTCCTAAGAGTGCTGTATGTCTGAGCAGTTATTATTACTTTATATTGCCTGGAGCTGTGTTTCTTTATAGAACTGTTAAAAGTAGGGGCTGGGGATTTAGCTCAGTGGCAAAAGCGCCTGCCTGGCAAGCGCAAGGTCGTGAGTTCGGTTCCCGGTACCGGAGAAAAAAAAAAAAGAACTGTTAAAAGTATCCCACTTCCTTACTCTCACACCTGTCTTCCCTCTCTCTATAAACAAAGCCTGAGTTTAGTCAGTCCCACCCTGAGTACTCAGTAGATATCTACTGATTGCACTCTAGGGACTCATGGAGTTATGTGTAATATGAGTATGTACTGGCTTGGATGGAGGTTGTCACAGGTATGCAAAGATAACTAAATTACACAATTAGACAAATAGTCTTTTACATCTGTGCATAATAGAGAATAGTTGATTTTGAGAATAAACCTATTACCAAGAGCAATAGGTTTTGTTGTTCTTACATTGTGGGTTTGGGTTGTTGTTGTTTGTTTTTGTGACAGATATTTAACCCAGGGGCTCTCTACCACTGAGCTGTATACCCAGCCCTTTTTAGGATATAAAGAGTTGAACCTAGGGCCTTTACACTGAGTTACATCCATTTTTTGTTGTTCTGTTTTGAGATAGGGTCTCTAAACTGTATGGGATGGCTTTGAACTTGTGATCCTTCTGCCTCAATCTTCTGAGTAGCTGGGATTATAGGCATAAGCCAGTGCACCTGCTTGTGATGACTACTTTGATTTTAAGTTCTATAGATGTAAGACTCTAGCCGTCTTGACCCTTTATTTTCTCTGGTCACAGTGCAACTCTTGGCATTCTCAGAGTTAACACACCATCTTGACATTTTTAGGTCTGGAATTCCCAACACTCCAAAGCTATCTTTATGTAATATGCATATTCTTTCCTCAAAGAAAGATTGGACCCCCCACACACACAAATAACTTCTTGTACACCAGTTCTCCAGGAACCAGAAGAAAACTGAATGGGATTCTTATAGTCTTCCAAGACACAGACAGGGATATTTGTGTTGTTTGAAAAACACTTAATAGACAATCAAACAAAAAATATCTGTAAATACCATCTTTGTATGTAGCATTCTGGAAGAAATAAATAATTGTCAACTAAATTTTGCTTGTTACTAAGGAGTAGGGTCCAAACCAGCCAATATGCTGATTTGGAATCTGATTTGGAATCATAATACTATGCAAGATAAACTATTGTTTAGGAATCTGCCTGGGCCCTGCAGTAAGTAGTTAGTTGAGCTTCTCTTTTAATTAAGACCTGTGGTAGCTTAGTGTAGAGTTGTTTAAAAGAAACTTTCAAGATTTATGTCTGTGAAATCTTCTAAAGAAGATCATTTAAATTTGGAAGATGTGCTGATACAAAGTACTAGGATTTTCTTTTTTGTCAAGGAGAAAGATCTTATCATAGTCAAAGGAAACAAAATAAAGCAATCCACTTTCTTAGACATTTTCACAATAAACCCAAATCATCAGAAATAAGACATACTCTTTGGTTTATAAACAAAATGTCTAGTCCAGTACTGCACGATTCTACTTTAAAACACACACTTACACACATATACACATACACACGGCAATACCGACTGTGATGTTTATAAAACCAAACCTTAATGAATGTTTTATCTGTTATATTTTTCCATTTCAGGGGTAAAAAAGGCCTGTCTGAATTTGGGGGATATCTATAATAGACTTTTCATTTCCTCTCACTGAATGCCCCAATTATTTCCTTTATTGGTTATACAGGGACAGTGCCAGAAGTTAGAAAAGATGCATCTACATCACCTATACCAACAGGAAACCAAAAGGAGCTTGTAACCAAGGCCTCATCATCATCCCAATACAACACCCCCCGGTGAGCTTTAGGAATTTCTGATTTACTATTCTCCGTATGAGAGCATTTTCTGAGATGTTTTGTTAAAATAATAATTGGAAAAATATTGACAATTCTTAGTGGCTCTTACTCAAAAGAAAGGTTCTTATCTTGAAGCATATAAATTTGGCCAGGTTAAACCACATGAAGTTTTTCCTCTATATAAGTACTGACTTAATTGATCATGACAGTTGGCTAGGATTTACGTTAAACCCCAAAGTTAATGCTACCCTTCATCAGAAAGTCTGCTCTGCAGCCAGTACTCCCCAATTTATCTTGGAATGCTTATGCATTTGAACTGTAAGTTTAACTAAAGCAATTTTGAAAATTATAGTGACTTTTGTACTGAAATATGTCAAAACTTACTTATAGCAGAGATATTAGAAAGGTTAATCGTTTGATCAGCCATTTCTGGAGTCAGGAAAAGAAATGCATAATTTAAAATTTCTCATATCTAATAAGCCAACTCTATATTATTCATTAAAGGCTTAATATATAAATATCAATACCAAAGGGCTTGATTTATGTTTCCTTGGGGATATGATTGGTTTAGAACACTTAAAATTCCTAGCATCTTATCAAATGAATATAGATTTTAAAACTTAATTTGTAGTTACTTCAGTCCACTAGACTTGGAAAATAAAAATACTTATAGTGTTGGTCTCAAGGCTGATAATTTCAAAAGTGCTTTACTTGTTATAAAACTTGTTCTTTTGGTTTGTAGTTATTTCCAAAGGGGAGAAGCATGAACACTCCTAAAGACTATTCTAAAATGTCATTTCCAAGTTCAGTAGAAATACTGCCTCACAGAAGCCAAGCCTGAAAAATCACTAAGAATCAGTATGCATTGTAGTCATGTCTCTTATTGCCAAACCTTTAATTCTGGAGCCAGAAGGGTAAGCATCCTGGAGATCTTGAGAAATGATTCTCACGTAGAGGATAATAATGACTGCAGTCTATTAAGTTCTTGACTATGTGCCCAGCACTGTGCCAAGCCCCTTAATACATTATCTGATTTAATCTTGATACTGTAATGAGATGGGGCTACTATCATCCCTATTTTAAAAATTAGCAAACTAAATCTCAAAGGGATTGAATGACTTATCTAAGGGTACTTAGCAGGCTGAAGCTCAGGCTGCCCTTAAACTCACTGTGTAGCCCAGGCTGGCCTCAAACTCACAACAGTCCTACTGTTTTAGCCTCCTAAGTGCTGGAATTACAAGTATGCACCACCATACCCAGCACATGATTCTGAAATATTGATGATGCCCCTTTTGGATGGCTTAACATTATGGGAGATTTCATCTGGCTCACACTGAGGGATTTGTTTGGAGAAGTTAGAGGTAAAAAGAGGCAATGATCTGGATTTTCAATCTCAGTGAATTTTCCTATTGTTAAATATTAAAATGAGATATGTAACATCACTGTAATAGGTTTCTGGTGGTTGCATTTTAGTTTAGAGAGAAGAATGAAAGAGAGGAATACAATGTTTCTGCTTAAGGGTTTTGTAAAACATCCTCAGCACAAATTTTCTGAATGGAACATATCAACTTTGTAGAGTTTTACACGTCTTAGCATATACAAAGACCTGGGATTGATCCCCAGCACTATTAAAAATAAATTTTTTTAAAATTGTGAAGACTTATATTATAGACTTTTAAAAAACAATTCTTTGTTAACCCTTAATACTGTGGATCAGCTAAATATAGATTTGTAGAAAGTTTGCAAATAATGATCATTTGGCTAAGTAAAACAATGTGTAATACACCAGATTTTATCCTTAGAAGTGCACAATGGCATATTATTGGTCTATTACTACGAAGCGCAGATTTGGAAAAAAGATGCAATACTATGATAATCAGTTATCAGGAAGGCACACTGGTCACTTTCCAGACTTCAGAATCAGGATTATTTGAATTGTTCTTATTTTAAAGTATCGAAAGTCTACACTTTTTATAGACTACTTTTTAGGTGCACCCAAACTCTTAATATAGGAAAAAATTCCTGTGGTTCTTTCTTTTAACAAATCACTGAAGGTTCTGAGGAGAACATAAAGAAAAGCCTTTCTTTCCCCTGTCTGCCATAAATTTTAAGAATATTTAAGATTTGTAAGGGAAAAATAGGGGTAGTTCAAGTGCTGGTGAGATACAGGTTTTCCTTTGTTCTTTGAAAACACCTAGAAGCATCCCATATCTTTCTGTGTACAGGTGAAAAAATTGGCATGGCAGAATCATCTTTCTCATTCACAGTGTAGGCTGTTAATTGTTCTCTCTGCTGGCTGTCAATATAATGTGAAATTTTCATTCCCCATTCAAGATGGAAAAAGTTGTGGCTGAAAATGTTAACATTTGCATTTTTATTTGTTGATTTATTTAAAAGACAGCGTTTCCTACAGTGATCCATCACTTGGTGACACCCCAAATATGAATAATGTATTGTAGGCTTGCAGTTACAATGTGTTATAAGTGCTGGAGACAGTAAAGGAATGTTAACTATGTTGCAAATGTAATATTTATAACTCGTAAAGTTTATTGCTTTGGAAGTTCAATAATACTGACCATAGGACATTAATATCACTTATCCTGGTTTTAGCTAGGCACTTTTGTATGTAGAAATATTCATCTATCTCAGGCTACCAAAATAAATAAATAATTTACAACACAAGCAAAGAGTACACTACACTCTTCTGTGCTGGAGGCTGCTGTGGGCAGTGCTTCTTCCTCTCCAGTTCACTTACAGCTTCTGCCACTACCCACATACTCCTGAGCTGTCAACACAGACCACTGCACCTGGAGAGAAGCATGGAGACACTTTCCCCCCATCATTCTGAACTTTTCCCCCACCGTTCTGCTGGCTCTGAAAGAGAGCTGAATATCTGCCTTTGCTGCACGGACACTCAGAGTTTATTAATTATACGTGGTCCTTGGATCTCCAGTGTGATGCCCGAGATGGGCAGGTTCCCATGTACTTCTCAAATCAATGTGTGAAGGGCCCAGATGTTACTGATCAATAACCCTCTTGTGTCTTCCACAGCTAGGTGTATCCACTGTGAACAATAAAGAATATAGAAATATCTAAATACCCAAAGCAAAAGAAGTAATGTTAATTAGTGGCTATGAGCTGTAATTGTCATCGACATTAAGATGTGGAATTATGTATTTCTTCATTATAAATAACCTTTCTAATTGTACTTGATGTATGCCAATTTAATCAAAAAGTATACTTGCAACAGACATATTTGCATTAATATAGTTTTGGATCATCAAGTCTTTTATTTCAAATTGGTCTGGGAAATAAGGTGTATTATAGTTGTATATCCTTTCTCTGCTGGTACCTTTTTATATTCACATATGTAGATGTGATACATTTTATATTAAAATGAAGGTAGTATCTTCTGGGATGGTTTAGTGCAACAGAAATCTTGTCACTTTTTCAAATACTAATTCAGTTTCTATTTCTCAGCCTTATGACAACACAATGATGATTGTTCCAAACTGGTAAGCAGAGGTGAACAGCAGGCCCAAGGCGGCAGGCTTAAATTCTCAGTCCCTCAAATGAAAGACTGCTAAAGCCTCTTTTCTTTCTTCTTCTATGACTCATAGGCAGAGTTTTAGCTGTTACACTTGTACACCCTAGTTTTTCTGAAAGATGTGAAGAGAGAACACATATCTCTCCAAGTCATGCCTAACTAGTGAATTTTTGTTTGTTTTTTGGTTTTATGGACAGGGTCCAAAACCTACCCACACAGGTAACATGTTCGTGTTATACTAATAAGAAAAAATACTAAAAATTTTAATTGTTCATAATTCTTAGAGTAGTACATTAGAACTAATAAAATGCTTTTAACATTCATTCCTTCATTTCAATTATAGCAGAACCCTGTTAGATAAGTAGTAATAATATCCCACTTAACAATGAGGAAAGATTGAGAAAGACTAACCAAAGTCACATAATAAGGAAACCAAAGACTTGAATCCAGCTTTCATAATCCTAAAGTTCAGTGTTTTGGTTTTTTGGGTTTTTTTAATTCTTCTATACCACCTAACACTGGGATTTGGCTTTGAAGTATAGGCACTGAGCTGATAATATTCTAGTTTAGGGTAAAAAAAAATCAGACCAACTTACTTTTAAGCATTGGCATTGGTTTTTTAACTGTAAAGGAAGAAACTGAGTAGTACAGAGAAGATATTATGATTCACTTACACCTAACAGTCAAATTATAATACTTTCTTAAATTTGTGCCCAGAATCCTAACTATAATAAAATCTTTAAGTTAAACTTTCTTTTCACCTATATATTTGTACAAATATTATTAAGTGTTCAACCAGATTCTCTCACATGTCCAGCGAGGAAATTGTGGAGAGGAATAAAATAAAATTTCAAACCTCTAGTAAGGGCCTGTGACAAACATGAATAACAGGCCTCTGTAATACACTATATGAATGATTACCATGTATAATTATACTGCCTATTCACAGAACATCCATTGTATACTAACTGTTGTATTAGGCATGTATAGATATATCCATCGATATGTTCATATAAATTACATATTATAAAAAATTTCCCAATTACTAAAGTGCAATTTCAAAATACTATACAGAATTTCTTCTCAGAATTTTCATGCTTTTCTTAAAATGTAAGCTACTAGGCCAAGAACTATCACCTTACCTTTTTCTGCCTTGAGAGTACCAGTTAACACACTGCATAAAATCAAAGGAGCACTTATTATAACTTTTCCATTTTGAGCATGTTTTAAATATTAAAATAAAACAAAATCCAATGAAATAATGCATATAAATTGATGACAATGAAAAGAAATAATCTGAATACCTCAGAAAAGAATATGTTGTGGCTTGTATCTAGATGTTGCCACAAAGCCTCCTGCAGTCAGTCCTTTTTGGAGGTGGCTGGGTCTAAGGTGTGTGCTGCTGGGATCCAGGATGTGATGCTGGGATTGATTCATGGTGTGATACTAGGGT